CTTCTAGCCAGTAGAGAGCAGAAAGCTAACACCGTCCTCTGATGTTCACTGAGGGAAGCCTCTGCTGGTGATGGATGAACAGTTCGTCCAAATAGTCCTGAAAAGGTGTCAAAGATGCCTTGCCAATATCCATGTAGCTTTGGACAGGACCAGAATGTGTGCAGAAGTGTGGCAGGAGATTGTCCGCAGAGATCACACGACGGATCCAAGTCCTTTTTGAATTTGCACAATCTGTCCTTAGACCAGTGTAGACGATGTACTACCTTGAATTGAACTATAACATGTTTCACACATATTGAGGATGAGTGTATTGGGGATTGGTGTATTTCAACAACACTTCAGTCTGAAGTGTGTGAACAGGTTCCAGGTGGTGAAAAAAGGAACATTCATTTGAACAAACAGTGAGGTTATGTTGCTTCTACATGTTCCTTCACTGTTTGACTCTTTTTTAGGTTTGTTATTTATTAATGCTGCACATGTTCAGATTAATTACGGAGCCACTGTGGGAACAAGACCACTTTCAGGTCAGTTCTATATTCTGTGAAACAACACTGGAAGTTTCTGCTCCACTGTAAGACCTGGATTTAACAGTTTTATTAGATCTTTCTTCAGACTGAACAGCAGCTCCTACTGATGAACAGGTTTGTTGTAAAGTCTAACCAGTTATTTCACATAAACTCTTTTAACCTTCTGTTACTTGCTTTACATTTCCTCACTAAAGTCTTGAATTGTTGTAAACAAAGCTGTTTGTAGTTGCAGTAGTTGTTTTTATTTATTTTCTCATGTCCAGGGGAACACTGTATTTGATGTTCTATCAGATTTCTACCTGAGTAAGTGATCAAACCAGTCAGCAGAGTGTGTTCAGCACTGCATTCGTACCTTTCCCTTCTCTGTAAGGATTTGTTTGTAGTGCAGCCAGCCTTCCCTGCGAACGTCACTGACTGCCGTGGTCCCCAGCTCAGAGGTGGAGTGGCGCTTGGAGCGGGCTTCCTCCTGATCCCGTAGACTCTCCAGAGACTGAAACCCAATGGTGAGAGGTTTAGGCTCACGTTGCTCAAATACAGTTTTAAATCAAAAATAAACTCTCTCATCACAAAGACTCACCCTGTCAGTGAAAAAGCTCTTGACCCTTTTTGGTAGTTTCCTGTAAAACAGACAGAGATCCAGGGTTATGATGTACAACACTGGACCATCAAATGTAAGAGAATCTAGAAAACTGGGATCACTCTAGATTTCTTTCACAATGACCAGAATCTTTCCTTTGACTTCAAATCAAACGAAAGAGAAGCTGTTAACATGGATTTGTGTGAATTCTCACATATTATTACAGACAAGTTTCTCTCTGAATGCAGATTAACCTCTGTAGAGCAACAGTTTTATTCTTTTGTCTTTTGCTGAAAAAACAAAAAGAAATAACAAAACTTTCATTTCCAGGTTTATTGAAGATTTATGGAAAATGATGGTTCATCTAAGCTCCCTGGCTCCATGTGACAGAAACATATGATGTGAAAAAATATTTACAGCCAGAATTTCTAAACAAATATTCTGTGTCTAGCACTGAATTATAAGTACTTATTGGTGATGAGAACTTATTACTCAGTCAAGAAAGAAAATTTAGTTTAATAAGGGCCAAGTGGTGTTTGTCCTTTTCCAGATAAAAATGTAGACATTAAAAATAAAAGGTATGTGAAAAATGTAAAGCTTTGACCTACTTCCTGTTATTTCCGTGTTAAACTACTCAGGATATATCCAGGGGATTCTGATGTTATCAGTCCATGAAATGGACGTTATTAGGCGTTATCAGTCCCATACAATGGCTTCAGAGGGTCCCTACTGTGCCTTCTAGGCTTCAGACTGTCTCGACAGTGCCCCCTAGTGGGTTAATATATCAATGACAATGAATGTGTAAATAACCAAAAGGTAATGTAAAAAATTATTTGTGCTCGTCTCAAACCCTGGACTCCCGCTCGCTGGTCCAACACTCTACCCATTGCCCTGTCGGAAGGCCACAATATATGTACAACCGTTGGAGGGCGGGGTCTTTGGCGCTAACTATGTCATTTGCTCTAAAGTTAACCTTAGTGGCTTTAAGTCTCATATTAACCAGTTTTTTATGTCTCATATTAACCAGATAGTGGTTTTAAGCCTCATTTTAACCAGATAGTGGTTTTAA